ATAATAATAATAATAATAATACTAATAAAAATAATAATAATAATAATAATAATAATAATGATTATAATAATAATAATTATAATAATGACAACAATGATAGTAATAATATTAATGATAATAATGAATAATAAAAATATTAATAATAATGATAAAAATAATAATACTGTATTCAGGATGGATTGGAGTTTTCCTCACCAAAGATCCACACCCCCTTCTACCATATCGACGAGACCTGTAACCCCTACGCCAAAGACGACAAACTCTTCCTCGAAACATTCCAGAAACATCTCAATCAGCCGCTAGATGGAAGCACCGTCAGATCACGTGCTCTAGCCGCAGCGCCAACAGTCGCACTACTATTTATTGTCAGTCTTCTTGCTTTTAGTCCAAATATGTGTGATTAGTCAGTATAATGTACATGTACTGTTTATGTTGTAGTCCTGATATAGTTTATGTAAGTTTGTGAACTTCAAAGCTAAAATATTTAAAAACTCATTTTGTAAATGAAAAAATTTAAAACCTAGAATGACCATCCCCAAATTAGTATTTTGTTGTTGTTTTTTTCCAACCTTTAGTCCTGTATACTCCTGTACTCCTGTACTCCTGTACTCCTGTACTCCTGTACTCCTGTACTCCTGTACTCCTGTACTCCTGTACTCCTGTACTCCTGTACTCCTGTACCCCTGTACTCCTGTACTCCTGTACTCCTGTACTCCTGTACTCCTGTACTCCTGTACTCCTGTACTATCTCTAAATAAGGATTCAGCATGGAGATCTCTACGGTCTACTGCTCTCAGCTGAAAACTAGCATTGTCACCTGGTTTAAGTGAAATAAATCCACGAAATTGAGGGAGAAGGAGGTCGGAGGGGGTATCCAAGGACTTTTTATCCACTTAAACACCCGTAACTTTTGTTTTCAAACATTTTTATCCCAAAAATCAGAATAATTTTTGAAAAAGAGGATCATATTGTTTGAACCAAATATTCTAAATTTACACATTAACAAAATGAATGCGACTTATTTAAATAAGTTATATCTTGAAAAATGTTAAATGAATTGAAGCCAAATGTGTAAAGATATATATTCAATAAATTAATATTTAAGTTGTATTTTGTATTAACAGTTTTGTATTATTTGTATTCTCTCTTTCCTCTCTAAATACATTCAGTATATAAATATACAATATATATGTAATTTAATAATGTAAAATAATAAAGTTAATTTTATACATGCATTCCTATATTTTAATTTTATACATGCATTCCTATATTTTGATTACTCTAGACAGGTTTGATAATTTCTGAGGAAAAAATTATCTGAAAGACTTTTTTACAATACACATTATTTGCAGTCTATTTTCAGTCTGTTTGCAGTCTATTTGCAGTCTATTTGCTGTCTTTTTTTTGTCTATTTGGCCTCTTTTGCCTATTTTTTTTGCACTATTAAAACAAACAAAGAGCCTTAAATCAAAATTTTCAAAAATCAAACTATTTTATGTTATCTTTGTGCTTTCTTAATCTTTTTTAGAATTGGAGCTCAAAAGCTTAGTAGTGACTCCCAGTCCATATTTATCGATGTTAATCTTTTTAAAGATTATTCTCTTAAGAGCTGACTTGTGCATTTCTACTGCAGAAACAATTGTTCAGTATAAAAAGGTAGAAAAACTACGATATCTTCCACAATTTTGATCAGATAAAAGGTTAAAGTGTAAAGCTATAAAATATGTTGATATCTTGGTTCAAACTAAATCACTTTTGAAAAAAAAATTCCAGTTTTCTTTTGGTTCATTTTGACCTTAATCAGACCACTGTAAATATAAAAAAGTGTTAATTAACTAAATAGTTTTTGTCTTCATACTTTTGCGTAAAATGAAAACTAGAGGAGCTCAGGAGGTCACAAAGTTGTACTAGTAATGTTGCATAAATTATACAGTCTCTTTAGCTCTGTTCGAAATTGATATAAAATGCCAACTCAGCAAAATACACATTTGATAAAGGATTATTTTATTGATACTATTAATCGGATTAGAGTAGTGGATATTAATTCCCTTCTGTTCCCTATTTTCGTTAATTATACCAATAATGAAGACCACTGAAATTTGGTTAAGTTTAAACCAAAACAATCTTTAATTTGTGAAATGCAACATACTACCTGAAAAACTCTTTCTTTTTAATTAGTAAAATTCCCATTTAGAATTAACCTTTATTTCGATAACATTCCCTTCAAGAATCCCTACATTGTTTTTAAGGTCCTTATCGGCTGATCGATGAATATCAAGGTCAAAAGTGTTGAATTCAGAGGAAAGTTCACTATTTCTTTGGCGGTGTGTCTAATGAATCTATTTGGCTTATTTATGTTGTTTTGTTTGTTTTGATTTGTTTGTTTGTTTACGTTAGAACACAAAATTGTACTTACCTTTAATAAAGGGTGCCAATCATATTAAATGTTTAGAAAGTGGAGTTGGACTTTAGTCCAAATTAATTGTAAAGCATCAATTCAAACGTAAACCCTGAAAATGATAATACTTTAACACGTTTTACTTTCTAATGTTTTATAATCATAAGATCAGAATAAATATATGAATGAGAGGATGAGTATAGGAAATAATAAATGAATGAATAAATGAATGAATATCTCTAAAGGTAGGATGAATAAATGAATGAATGAATATCTCTAATAGTTAAATATCTCTAAAGGAAGGATGAATGAATAAATGAATATCTCTAATAAATGAATGACTATCTGTAATTTTTGACCAGGAAAGCTGGAAAAATTCCCACGCGCGCCTAGATCAGGTTTAAAATAGTAGAAATCAGTATTCACTACACATACATACATACATACACCCTTACATACATACATACATACATACACCCTTACATGCATACATACATACAATATAAATACAATAATTTTAAAATTCGGTGATAGTGATGGACCAAACCTCTGTAGAGTAAAAAAAGCAGATGTTAGTTCCACATTTTATTGAAAATATATTTCGGTCTGGCTTGACCCTCGTCAGTTCTAACGATATAATAACCATCAAAATCCATAATAAAAAATGATAAAAAAACAAAAGAAAATAAACAAACAAAAAAGATTATTAAAAAAATAGGTTATTAAATGGACTCAGATCATGAAATGGAAAAAAAGATAATTTGCAAATATTCACTTTAAAAAGAATTTTTTAAGACAATTATTGTTTCTGTCGAATGAAGATTAAAAACAACTTAAAGTATCATCCAACACCATACACCCCGGACTAATGCAGAGTGAGAAGCATTCGGTTTCTTTCATTTGAAATCAAATGTGTTTTCGTCTATATTTCAACAACCTTTAAGCTTACAGATTTGTTTATTTTATACTTTTTCATTTAAAATGTATATGCGGACAAAAAATCACGTAAGAAAAATGGCTGTAAAATAATGTATAATGGGTCAAATTGTGATCGAAAGTCGCAGCTTTCTGAAATATTTATAGAACCGTTAAATCCGCGTGCATAGCTAGTGTCTAATATAGATATCATCTGTGTCTTGACAGCACTCATGCTCGATCACGCTAGACGAATGCAAAAATAAACACAATAAAACAAATATATTTAAAAGGTTGTGTTTATTTGTACGGTTTAAAAGTAGACTCAAACATTGGGCCCAGCGTGCGTTCCTATATCTTTTAAATCAGACGATACCACATCTCTATACATCTACTCTACACCTATACTTCTATATATATATATAGCAAAGTGGGATTTTCATAAAATCTGTATTTCAATAGATTACAATCAACTTAGATATATATAGCACTATTGTATACAGGGAATACAGGGTGTCCAAAAAAAGTTCTATTCAAAGAAAAATTAGCTTTTGTGCTTAAAATGGGGGTAGGTATTCAATCATACTTCTGCTATGATCTTTGAGACACCTATACCTTGATTCAAAGATTTAAATTTTTTAGATGTATTTTTTTTTGGGACCCCCTGTACATTGAGCTGTATCCCCGTTAATCCCTGGATTTAGATAGATTATCCACTCTATATACATACAGTGGTATAAAGCTGTCTTTCAAACACCTCAACAAACTCAAAGTAACCACGCTGCAGATATTCTCAAATATATTTGCGAATTTTAATCAATCACGCCGGGTAAATCCAAAAATATTACAAAAATACCACGGCATGAGTTTTTCCTAAAACATAAAAACAAAATATTCAATAATCTATTTCGAGTTTATATAACCACAGAATGTCCAGGGTTGCCCACAACGGACGAGACTTTATAGAGACGACCGTACGAGATTTATTCAGTCTTTGTTCTTGTCGTAAAATGAGTGTCCAATTTGATAAGGCAATTAAATAGATGAGCAGGATTTTATTCAAAATCCTACATTCTTTTTTAAAACTTTTGGCTGAAAGGGACTGTGAAGGAAAAATAAAAGGGGGTATAAGGTGAATTCTAATAATTTTAGATCTTGATCGCGATCACGTGATTAGCTTTTAGCCTATACCCAAATTTCTTTTTTCCTTTACAGTCCCATTAATGACATTTATGTCAGACTACCAAACTTTTATTATAGAATTGTGAAGTATCATTGATTTGCTAATTTACGATCCAATGATATTGTCAAGTAATCTGAAATTAAATCTGGAAACTATACGCAGTGCAGGCACGTGAGCTTCAGCCAGACAAACAGACAGAAATAGTAATATCATAACAAAATAATCTATTCTTTTTAAAGCTTAAACAGATTTTGTTTTAAAAAATGTTCAGTCTATACAATATACATACATTAAAAACTGGGAATATATAGATATTTCCTTTAAAATCATTTTAAAATTCTATTTCGAAAAATGAAAAAATTTCCCAACCTTACATTTCCTTCCCCCCTCTTTCATCAATAACTGGACTGCGGAGTTTCCCTTTTTAGGTTATAGACCAGACATGTGTGAAATACGTCTGAGCCGATTTAGTCTAGTTTAACATCTAAGTATTTTGTGCAATAAAGAATGTTTTCCTCTTTCTTTCTTTTCTTGAAAGTACCACATGCTGTTATTTTAGCACTTAGAGAGATTGCACTAATTAACGGTAAGATTAAAATCATTAATAAATTGTTAATTGTCCTGAACAAATGATTGTGAGAAATGCTGGCACTACAACTTTTTTGCTATCATTATCTTACTGGCTTATATTTTCAATAAGTATATTAAGTAATTCTTGCCTTACATTATTTTTTATGTACTATTTTTTCTGTAAAACGTCTTTCTAAGTAAAAAACTTCCATAGCCTATCCTAATTCATAGCGCACGGTCACTTCTAATCTGAAAAATACTGCATAGTTGTATAAAACAAAGAGTTAAAAGTTACCGCATAGTGTTAAATCAAATATTTGAAAAATACCGCAGTGTTGAAGTTAAAGTTGATCGACTTAAATACTTTGGTCCAAGGAGAAGCTTAAAGACAGAGATACTCTACAATCTCTACTATCTATACATCAATCAATATTTATTACTTAATCCGTTTATACAATTAAATAAAAGATGGGGGGGGGGGGGGGGGGGGTGAAGGGATTGTCGACGAAATTTTTAGTAAAGTCTAAATTAAAAAGGTCTGAAT